ATGATTCTTGGACCTTGGAATCAAAATTGATAAACATCATATAAGAATTCTTTGCTCTTAATTGGGTTCTAGCATAGCGACACATTCACTTGAGTCTGCAATGAATATTTCTATTAATTTAAGACTTGCCTTAAAGTATGAATTTTTTATTTGTATCCTTCTTGAATCCATGACTTATGTATGAAGAAACCGCATGAGCAAGGCCTCGAATTCGTTACTCGCAAATCATGACATTACTACTTTGTTTTTTAGACTTGCTTTTCACGAGAACCTCTTTGAAGTTATAAACTGAACAAAAGAAACTTGAAACAAAGACTTGAAAAATGGAGTTGGTGCGCTTAAAAGGATGAATTCTCTTTGGGGAAACTTTGAGAAATCTAGAGGAAAATGACATGTAGAAAAATCATAAGACCATCCTTAATAAAAATCCAATGAACACCTCCTGAAGCGCTTGACTGAGAGGACGGGTACCACTTCTCTTATTAGTTAAATGCCCCTTGCACCAGCTCGCTAGTCACAAAAGCACGCACACAAAGATTGCATGACCTAGAGATGTTATGCACGGGGAGGTGGGATCTTAGGTCCGGAAATTAGGGTGTGACAAACACACTCCATAATGTTATAAAATTGGTGATATTTTTTGGACAATTTTTGTGTTTTGAAATTCTGCTCTGGATAATATCTCTGTTTTATTTTGCATAATTTTTGGGTGGTTCTGAAGATGTGTCTTCGGACACACCTTCTAATTATAAAAAAACAACACAAGAGATCATCCGAAGATGCATCTCTCAACAAAACCTTTTTTTTAAAAGGCAAATCCGAATATGCATCTCTAAGTTTTGTCCGGATTGTAGGGTTTGTAAGGTCCTTATTGATCTACATTTTTTTTATAAATGTGGTATCTCATTCCATTTTCTTTACAAAATTCATAATGAATCTTTATCCCCATTATGCATTTGTGTTTTTCAATGGCGCAAATCATCCATTTCCATTTAGGGTCTTCGAGGACATACTTCTCGTCGAATTGAAATTCAAACTGAATACTTTCCTGCGATATATGTAAAATCAGATAGTCAAACTTAAGTACCGTTCAACAGCCTACTAAATTGTTTTGATTCTCCAGGCTTTGTAATGTTAGTTAGTGTCCACAACAATAAACGACTTATATTTCACTTGTATATCCTTCAATATTTTAATATCATTATCCCTCACACCATGTTGGGACTAAAAGATTCCGAGTTGGATTTGAATGACTTTAGGAAAGGAAAGTTTCCATGATTTTCTCTCTTATTCTCGTTATAAAGGCCTTTTGTTTTGTTTTTTTTTAAATTGATTTATAATCTAACATAATTTTGTGAAAATACAAATTTATAAAAAAAACTTCAGATGAGAATTTGATTTGAATATTTATTTTTAAAATATTATTTTAGATATTTTATCATTTTATTAAAACTTAATTTGAATATTAAAATTTCAAAGAAAACCACTTAATTTTAAAGCAATTTCATATAGTTTTTCATAAAAGATATTTTTGAAATAGATTTTTTTTTTTAAAATGTGATTTTTACTATATTTTAATCATCAATAATATATATTAAAATTAGTCATTCAATTTAAAAAATAAAACAAATATAAAAAAACTTATAATATTTTAAATATAATTTTGTAAAATTTATTTTTAAAAAAATCATTTTTTTAAAACTGAAACAAATAGGTTCTAAATACTTTCATTCTTTTTTTTTTCATTTCTTTATTTTCTCTCTCATAAAAAAACAATTAAAGTTATCAAAGTCATGCAAGATGAAAGTCAAGACTATACATTTATTTGTGATGTCTATTGGAGATGACATAAAATAGTATTTATTACGAAAACACTGTCCTAACATTCAAGTAAACCTAGATATTTTATTCTAAAATTTCTAAGTGCTATGACCCAATTAATTATTTTACACACATTAAAGTAAATAAATAATTAAAAGAGAAACAAATATTTTTATTAAAATATCTTTATTACGTGTTGAGAGTAATAAAAATAATATTAATTAGACAAATAAAATTAAAAAAACATATTAAAAGTTAGAATTAATCCCTCATCTTAAGACATTCTTTTATTTGAAATGAAATACTTATTATAAGATAATGGGATACAAAATATATATACCATATGTCATTGTCAATGTCACCACCTGCCCTAAAACATTAGGGTAGCAACATATTAATGTTTTTCTTTTCTTTTTGTGTTAATGTGAACTTCAATTTGCCATGTGTACATGATTTTCTTGTATCTGTCTAAAGAAAGACAGGTTGTTGAGACTGTCCTTTCGCATATGGTCGATCTAATATATGGTTTGTCAAAAATGTCGGTCATTTCTATCATTGGTTACTAAGGAATTTCATTATCTAGTTATTATCATTGAAAACATGCAATGCAACTAGCTTGAAGGAGACAATATGGATATGCTTAAAACAATAAAACTAGTCCCTCTATTTTTATATACATGTATATTAAAATTCAGTCATTCTAACAAATGTTTTAAGAGTGTTGTTTTTAATAAAAAAAATTAAAATAAACAAATTTTATTTTGGAAGTAGAAGTCAAACCGTTGTCACAATAAAAAATTACTTGTTTGTGCAAAATATATTATTTTTAATTTAAAAGTGTCGTTTTAAAAAAATTAAAATAAACAAATTTTATTTTGGACGTATAAGTCAAACCGTTGTCACAATAAAAAATGCGCAAAATATAGAAAATTTTATCCCATATCCTTTCATTTATTCTCCTATCCCTCCGTTATATTATTTTTACCAAAATACCCTGATATAAATAAGTGTAAAATTTTTCTGATTTAATTATTTGAACCGAAATTTAATAAATAAATTTATCTTTGAAAGTTACATTATTAATATCTTAGCAAACATGACAAATATTATCTATTTATACTATTATATAATCTCATAATGTCTCCATCAAAAAGTTTATGCTAAAATTTTTTCCTTTAATTAATTAATTAAATATAATAAAACATTTGACTAAGTCACATTCTTATAATTAAAACATTTGACTAAGTCACATTCTTATATTTTAAATAATTATTAATTAACAAATATAATAAAACACATCCTGAATTTTTTTTAAAATGTAGCCACCCACCAATAATGTGTTAACATAGTAATTATCCTGCATAACTTTTCTCTTCATTCTATTAAATAATATTTTATTATTATTAATTAAATAATAATTAAATTAAAATATTTAACATGTTTATTTCTCAAATTTCTCTCCACCCAACACTCTCTATTTATATCATACAAACAATTAACTTCTCTCTATCCATAATGTCTCTCTAACCCCACATTAATAGGACACATAATAATATTAAATTAAAAAAAAAGAAGACATAATGTGAACCTTAAAATTACTTGATACAAAAATAAATTAATAAATATAATTCATAAAATGGTTAAAGTTTTTTATAGCCCCCACTAATTTCATTATTTTATTTCATTTTTTCACAAAGTCATCTTCACACTAATCAGTATTTTAATTTTATTATTATTTAATTAATAATAATAATATTTAATTATTAATAATAAAAGATTAATTAATAGAATGAAGAGAAAAGTTATGCAGGATAGTTACTATGTTAACATATTATTGGTGGGTGGCTGCATTTTAAAAAAAATTCAGGATGTGTTTTACTATATTTGTTAATTAAAATAATTATTTAAAATATAAGAATGTGACTTAGTCAGATATTTTAAATGGAGTTAATAATAAATATATTTATATTTAATTAATTAATTAATTAAAGGAAAAAGTTTTAGCGGAAATTTTTTTGATGGAGACATTATGAGAGTATATACTAGTATAAATAGATAATACTTGTCATGTTTGTTAAGAATATTAATAATGTAATTTTTAAAGATAGATTTGTTTATTAAATTTTGGATCAAATAATTAAACCAAGAAAATTTTACACATATTTATATGAAGATATTTTGGTCAAAAAAAATATAATGTAGGGGTAGAGGAATAAATGATGGGGTATGAGGTAAAATTTTCTTCTATTCGTTCATTCACAAATCATCTTTCTTACCTCTTTATTTATTTTCTTCTCTAGTTTCTTCATATAGCAATATTAGTTTTAGTTATCGAAGTTCTCATGGTGTCAGTTCGTAACTTTTAGAGTTATTTTGTGGTAAAAGTTCTTCTAAAGTTCCAAAGAAGTTTTATACGTCAAAATTCTGCCCATTACAAGAAAAACTACATATAGTTAGAGGTTAAACCCCTCACTAAAGCAAAAAAACCCATCCCAAAACATCAATTTGCGAGGGGATAGGCCCCCTAGCTAATCAGGGCATCACAAATTATTGGCTAGGGGATAAACCCCTCGTAAATTTGACTAGGGGATAAATTCCTCGCAAAATATCATGAAAAAAATTCAGTTTGTTGCGTTGCAGACATAGACACAGACTAGTGCCACAGAGTGGCACAAACGTGTCAGATTATGTGCGAGGGGGTAAACCCCTAGCTAACGTACCTGCTTTTTGAATTTAGAGAGGGGTAAAACCCCTAGCTGTATGTGTCAGAATTTTGTGAGGGGTAAAGCCCCTAGCAAATTGTCATACGTTTTGGAAATTGTGAGGGGTTTAACCCCTAACTAATGATTATAATATTGTTTTAAAATTTATAATTATATTGTTATAACTAGAATAATAATATAATTATATAATAAATTTTTATTAAATTTTATAATTATATTATTTAATTATATTATTATAATTAGAATAAAATATTTATATAATAAAGAAATATATATTTTAATATAATTATATAATAAATAAATATATACTTATGAATTTTGTAAAATATAATAATTTATAATTAAAAGTGCAATATAACTAAATATCCACATCCATCATCAGAATAAAAATAATTCATGAGAAAAATAAAATAAAATATAAAAATACATATTAAAAGTTTCATATTTTTAACAAATTTAATCAACTTTTTCATCATCATCCTCATCTTCCTCATCTCTTTCTCTCACACCTTGATTCATATGCAATGCCATAAATTGTTCAAATTTCAGTTTGCTCTCATTTGCAATCTGCATTGCTTCCTCATACTCCGCTATTTTTCTCCTCAATTCTTCCTCCATCTCTGCTTGTCTTCTCCTCATTTCCTCCACCTCTGCTTGTCTAGTTGCTGCCTCACGTGCTGTCTCGGTCTGTGTCAAATTTCTCACAGTTTCAAGCATATCAGCGGTTAATATAGGCGGACGTGATGATCCTTCTCCATTATCAAGTCTCATCATGAAAGTCCTATCACGCCGCTTAATTGTTTTGGCATACCCTCCAGCACCATACACCCTTCCATTTTTTCTCTTCCCGCGAGTAGCATCATACCAAGTCTGAAAACCTAGACAAGGATCAACAGGATATCTATGTGGTGGTGGAGGTAACTCAGGATGCTCAGATAAAGAAAGTGCAAGTTTTCGATCATAAAATCAGTTTTATAAAATCAATTTTTATAAATATTTTAATAAGTATGTTTAATAATTTGTATTACAAATCTATTTTTAAAATTTGTTTTTAAAATATGTTTTATAATATAAACTAACTTAATATAATTATTTTTATAATATAATATGTTTTTGTAACCCATTTATTTATTAATTTATACATAATAATATAAACAATATATATATATATATATATATATATATATATATATATATATATATATATATATATATATATATATATATATATATATATATATATATATATATATATATATATATATATATATATATATATATATATATATATATACTAAATAATATAAACAAAATATACTTATACTGTTTTTTACAATTTTTTCTAACAAATATTATTAAACTGTTATAATATAAATCTGAAAAGTATAAGAAATAAAAAATATATTTTCAAAAATAATTTACTAAAAATAATACAGAAATTTCGAAATAAAAAATAATATATATTTTATTATACCAGCATCAAACCAAAATCAACATATATTAATATCAATTACATCTAAAATCTTGAGAAAAAAAATAAGTATGTACCTTTTGATACTCCCTTAAATTTGTAGCTCCTTTTAGGTAAAATTTGAGAGCTTTATTATCAATAGTATACATACAACAAAGCAAATAAATAAAAAAATTTATTAATAAATTTAAGAAATAAAGTTAATTACAAAATACAAAAATAATATAACATAACAAAAATATTTACCTAGTATCAGTACACGATTATGTTCTTCTGTATATCAAAAATAAAAATTTGATGGTATGGAATGAGAAGAAAAATGGTGGAAGGTAAAAGATAGAAAGAAGAAAGGGTGAGAGAAGATAAAGGAGGAGAAGAAAGGGTGAGAGAAGATATATAATATAAACTGATATTATTATTATATCAATGGAAATTTAAAGTGGTATTTAATGCGTGCATTTGCGAGGGGGTGCCCCACGCCAACATAATGGTCACATTGACGTGTCAAATGACTGACTACATGTGTGGCACGTGGACACAAATTGCGAAGGGGTACTCCACGCTGGCTACGAAAATTGATTTTGCGAGGGGCTACCCCTAGCCAGCTTTAACGTGTTGCAGACTCCTTACTGCCATGTGGCAGCAGAATAAATGCTTTTACAGGTGGATTTGACTAAAGTATCTCAACTGGTGAGGGGGTTCCCCTCGCAAATTTCACATCATATACTGGTGAGGGGTTGATCCCTCGCAAATTGCCTCAATTCCCACCCAGTTTTTGCGTTGACCCCTAGTAAAATATTGTTTCAAATTTCAAAATATTTTCCCTCCTTATTTGCGAGGGGTAACCCCTAGGAAGTGTTTTTTATTTTTATTTTTTTCTATTTTGTGGTTTGCGAGGGGATTATCCCCAAGCAACATGGTTTTTTTTAGTGAGGTGTTTTCTCCCTAGCCCATGCCCCTAGCTAATATCATGTTTTCTTGTAGTGGCCCAAATCAATCTCATAAATAATCGATAAGCCGTTATAATGTCTATTTTATTTTAATTATATTATTTTAATTATGTTATTTATACAAAGGTTATTTTAAAATTTATATGCAAATTTTTTTCAGACGTCGAGATATTGAACTTATAAAGTCCAAAATAAGTTTTACCATTTTAAGTCGTTATAATGCCCAAATATTATTATAATTTAAATGTTATTAGGAATATACTCTTGATAATTTTCTAAAACGAACAAATTCAAAAGGAGGTATAGTCTAATTTATATTTGAATTTAATAATTATTTAAATATAATGGAGGTTATTATTATATCTTTTAATAAATAAATATTTCAAGTTGTAACGAGATTATGTTCAATTAACCATTAATGTATATGTGTGTAGTGGTGACCCAAGCCCTACTAACGATAAATAAGTAAGAAGAGCCTATTCTCGAATAATAATTTTTCACGAATAATAACTTTGTGATTGTAATATGCTTGCATTGTTTGATTAATTGTCTAATTGTTTATTTTAATTATACTTGAATGATTGTGATTGATAGACTAAGGAAATAATCTGATAATGAGAGAACAACATTGCTAGATACTAAGTGTTAGATCCCTAATAAGAGAAGGTAAGTTGGATACATTGAGCAGTTGTTATTGATTGGGTTAAGGCTAAAGAAATACTTGGTCGACTATGTCAGTTACGGTCCACCTCTCTTACCTGGGAAGTTAACCTTACAATTATTCATTGTACAAACTGAACTGATTAAGTAAATATAAGGATCATTCCAAGAAGAAATATGGCAAGACATTTGATGGATTTGGCACTCAACCTAAGTATCTAGATAATAAGTATAACCTGAAAGGTTGATACGATATTTCTCCATTATTAACTTAATACTTATGGTTGAGAGTTGCCACAAGATGATTGAGTGATCATATAGACTTACATTAAGGAATGTGTAAGTCTACTACCGTGCGGTATGGGACGTACAAGGTTGATCGGTCGCCAATAATTCTGACGAAGATTATTATCTATGCATGCTAGGTAAGGCAAGGTTCTTGGCTTGAATTCTCATGGGCGATCGACTTATAACACCTAAACTCTGTATGAAGTTAGGTGGCGTAGCTCTTGGTAATTGGGAACACGTTGGTGGCATGTGGTCTTGTAATATCTGATCTTGGTAAATGGGATAGATATATTTGACAACGTTTAATGGCCTGAGTCAATGTTTTTCATTTTGGGTTATTCTATGACGATTAGACAACGAGCTCGAATCTTGCTTACTTCCCGGCAGTTCAGAAGGAAATGATATGAAGTGACGTGGAAATGGGTTACTATAACATCTAAATTGGGAGTTGTTAGTGTTTTGTCAAACTCATTTCCCTACCACTATAGTCAGTACAAGTGTCAGTCTTATTGGACTTAGGAGGTCCTTTTTGTTATGCTTTCTTTTGATTTCCTTTCTGTACTTTTATTTTATGTTTTACTTATGTGGCAAGGCCACTAGTCTTAACGATGTCAAGCTCTATGTAAAATATATTTGAAGCATATATATGTGAAGCAATATGTTTTTAATTAATTAAGTATTGTTATTTAAAAGTTTCAAAATTTATGTATTTTTATTAAAGGTTTCATTAGAATTTCACTAATGGGACATAGGCTGACTCATTTTATGGTATCAGAGCTAGTCGATTCAGCTCGGATCGCAAATGTCTAGAATTATACTTATTGTATCAAGTTGAATTCTAAATTGGATGATAACTTTTCTTCTGTGTGTTAAGTCTTCATCTTGAGAGCCTTCTAGTACAGTGATTTAGGAAAAGACTTTAACACAATTAATTTTTCCTCCCCTAACGGTAACGTAACAGACACTTCACAAAATTCTCTCTATAAATACTTCACACCCATTCATTATTTTCATATCAATTTCAGAATGTTTATTTATACCTTTCAAATGGCTAAATGTTTTATTTTATTCACCACTCTTTTTGTCATTATCTTGTTTATTTTTGGTATTATCAAGCATGAAGAATTAGGTAAATATTTCATAGCAATAATGATAATTATAGTTTTACCATTATTAGTCTTAGTTTGGTTTGTAAATAGAGGTTTTTGAATGAGACATGATCATGGTTTTTGTAATCATTGTTATTGAATAAATTGATACATTTTTGTTTATACATTAAATGTTAACTACGTTTGCCCAAATTCTAGATATAATCATGTCTAAAGCATTAATTCAACGTTTTAGACATAACTATCCCTTACTTGTGAAAGACTTGACAAAAATCCTTATCGATGAATCATTCATTGGGATATAAATATACATAATTGTTATGTTCTTTATGTCTTGTGAATGATTGAACCTAATAACTATTCCTTTTCAGGAAGTTATGGTTCAGAACGTCAGAAACGCGAGGCGTGGTAGGAGTGCTGGTAGAGGCACTACTAGAGGTGTACGTAGGAATGTGAGTGATGAAGTTACTCCCGAAGGAGCACCTACCATTCCCATGGGACGAGAATATCATTCCCAAACTAGTACAAACTCTCAAGCTGACACTCGAGATGTTTGTGAACTTGCTACACCTATGTTAGCTCAAACACAACAAAATGCTTAAATCCTGCAAATCACTTGAGATCGTCAACTTTTTCAGCAATAACAAATGGAAACTGTGCATGAAGATGCAAGATTGAACTTGTTTCTGGAAGGAAAACCACCACAGTTTGGTGGTGACTTTAATCCGGAGGGTGCTGAGAAATGGTTGTAAGAGATAGAGAAGATATTTTATTGCACTCAATGTAGAGAGAATAGAAGGGTTGGTTATGCAACATTCATGCTAATAGACAATGTTGAAGCTTGGCGGAGAGAAATATATATAGATTGTTGGAAGAGGAAGGAAGAGAGATCAATTGGATCTTGTTCAAAGAAGAATTTTCAGGGAAGTATTTTCAAAAGTTATGTAGGAAAGAGAAGGAGGGAGAATTTCAGAACCTGCATCAAGGTGTGATAACAGTGGGAGAGTATACTAGGAAGTTTAAATCCTTGTTAAAGTATTCTGAGTTTTACCGCTTGCATCCAAGGGAAGAATGGACGTGTGAAAAGTATCAAGATGGATTGAAATATGATATATAGAGGGCAATTTTACCTCTGCATATTGTGCGCTTTGGTGAACTGATAAAAAGGTGTCTGGAGTTGGAAGGAATTAACAATAAGAAGAATCAATATGGATCAGAAGGATCAACCCGAAACAACAATCATAAGGGCCACTTTAATCGAGGCCATAGAGGAAGAACCCAACAAGGGGATAGGTCATATCAAAGGCCTACACCTTATCATAATCATGATTCTAGAAGGTTAACATTCAAGTGTTACAGTTGTAGAGGGGCACATCTTAACAAAGATTGTCCAAATAGAAATATTGGAGCTTGTTTTTGCTATGGTCAGAAAGGCCATTTTCTCAAAGATTGTCCCCAAGGACAAAATCAACCAAAAAGCCAGAAGAAAAATGTAGAAAGAGCAAGGAATGGAGGCCCAAGTGTTGGTTAGAGACCTCAGAATCACAATAAGCTAACCACTGGAAGAGTATTTGCAATTAGAGGAGCTAAGATCTCAAAGTCAATTGGGTTAATTCAAGGTATGTGTTTAATTGGAGATAAGCCGGTATCAGTTTTATTAGATTAAGGAGCAACACATTCTTTTATATCTACACCTTGTGCTGAATTTTTGGGATTTGAAATAGTTGATCTCAACTATAAGTTGACTATTACAACTCCCTCAGGAGAAAGAATTGTAACTTATTCAGTCTGTGTGAACTACCCAATAATATTAGAAAATAGAAGATTCTTAGTAGATCTTGTGATACTCCTGCTACAAGACCTAGATGTCATCTTAGAAGTGGATTGGTTATCAGCCAACGATGTAAACTTGAGATGCAAGAAGAAAATTTTAACGTTTGGAGAAGATAGTGGAGAAGTCAACAAGGTTGAAACCCTCACTAAAAAATTTATGATGTTATTCTCCATGTCGGTAGAAGAAATACCTAGTGTTGAAAATTTTCTAGTGGTCTGTGAATTCCCGAAAGTCTTTCCAGAAGATGTTCTAGGTTTACCACTGGTTAGGGAAATGGAGTTTTCTATAGACTTGGTTTCAGGCACTGG